CGCAGGAGTTTGGGTTTAAATAAATAAAAAGTCGCGGTTTTGATTTAAACTAGTGTTTAAATATACCTTAAGATAAAGGTGAAAATGCATTTACAGATAACTTCTTAAAGTCATATCGATGCCGTTCGATGGATGAGGTAACTCGAGTCTGCTGTTAGCAGCGCGAGAAGCAAATATAAAAATATATTACAGTTCCAAAGTTTCGACCGAAATGGCTTTGTTAATCGTTGTTGGAATTGTAATGAAAATTTTGCGGTGTTCCTTATCTTGCGTTTTGAATAAGGAGACACCGAGTCCTCTACTTACCGGACAGTTGTCTGATTTGCCCATTTGGTCAAAGTTCCCTGTCCCTGCTGTAGCCCAGGTTCACTGCACGAACCAAATGCCAGTGATGTGCCTTCGAAGATGCAGTAGGATGTTTCAAGCGTTCCTTCATTGTCTGATTCCACTTTGCACTTTAAGGGTTATAGTCTTTTGTGTAACCGATGGCAGTCTGGCTGTTCTCTTCTTGATCCCTTGTTTTTTGCCGAAAAGATGACGGATTCCTTGAAGTCTTTGTTAGTTTCAGTGACGTCGCCGCTTTGCGATTGGGCATCGACGATGGCATTAAGATAAATCTCTACCTCCGTTTGGTAAATAGATCACGCCACTTCGTCATATTTTAGCCGGTCAACGTCGAACAGCTGATGTGCTGCAGCCGGACAGTGTCGATGCGATGGAAGCGAATGCATTTGCCATGCCTAACAAGTCTCGAGTATCGATGTGCGCCATTTACGGTTGATGAGGACGTGGTTCAGTTGGGCGTTTGGGTTATCATCGGGGACGTCCAGATGGCTTCGTGAATATGTTTATGAGCAATAAGGGTGCTGCCGACGATTGAGCTGTTTGTGGCTGTAAAGCCCAACTGAGCCTGTCGTTGACATTCACGCTGTTAATACAATAGCGATTGAGTATGCCTTGCCAGTTGCTGTACCGCTCGCCCACCTTCGTGTTGTGACTTCGTGACATCACAGAATGCTTACAGCCGAGTGCAATGAGTCATAGAAAACGTCTTTGTCGTTGTCACTCGACACGTTTGCCCGAGCATTGGCAGCAGTGACATTTAGCGTTTCTCCTTTTCGACATTTACGCGACAGAGCAGGCGTTTCTCCGACCCCTGTTCTGGGTTTTCCCTAGGATACCTCCCGCATGGCAACATCTACTGTAGGTGACCACCAAAATGATCGCCCATCCTGCAGGTCAAGCGTCCTTTACCCAGAGAGGCGAGCTTCAGGGACCGTTAGCATCGCGAGTTTTTTTTTCGACGGAACCTGCGACATACATCCTCTAGCTTACCTTCGGCAAACAAGGGACGAACGTTCTCACGTGCAACACGGAATTTTTGTGTCGTAGTCGTGTTACTGGCGGAATTACAGATTCCTTGTTTCCTA